TGGGTGCATGGTTAATAGATTAATTTAATTTTAATAATATTTTATTAATATTAAATTTAAAATTATTACCTGATTAATAAATAAGTAAACTTCAAATTTAATTTTTGAACTACAATCTTTAAAAATCTGCCATTGTGTAATTTCCACTTTTGGGAAAAATCACAACTCATGTATTAACTATGTATTAATTTAATTTCAGGTTTTAAGTTTCAAATTTCAAAATTTAGGTGATAAATAAAAAATTAAATATATTAACGTCACAATTATATAATTAATGATCACAGGTGCGTGTTTATAGATTACAATTTATTTATTGATCACATATTATCAAATTAATTGATCACAAATTATTTCATAATCACAGTAAAAATTTCGGTATATCACAAATTAATATATTTATAAGCCACAGATTATCGTTAAGTCGTAAATTTTCAAATTTTTACAACACAATTAGATAGTTGATCACAAATAATCGAATAGTTGGTCACATACTACTTCCACCACAGCCGCTTACGACCACCACCACCATCCACCGCCAGTAACACAGACACAGCTCGACAACCCACCACCAACGGCCATTTCAGTCCATTTTACTTTTGACGGTAAACTGGGTGCAACAACAACGCCACTTTACCACCACTGTTACCGTTTCCATCAAACTTCCATTTTCAACTTCACAATCATCGTTTTCAACTACAAAATCACCACTGACACCGTCAGACCACCACCACTAGATCTACCGCCAAATTCAACAAAAGACTATCATAACCGCCAGATCCATCACCGTTCTCGCCACCAACAAGAATCACAGCCACCACTAGATCCAACAAAATCACCGCCGCCGCCTTAAATTCTTACAAAAAAAATCTCCAAATCTGTCTTCGGTACCACCACCACCGGCTCAAATCACAACCCACAGACTTTATACAAAACCACAAACTTCGTCAATGCCAAACCACAACCTCACATTCAAAATGTGCAAATTTTTAGACAACATTCACTACACAGATCAGTCGATGCTTATAACAGGATGAGATGAAATGATCGTCTGGGTTCGGATAAGAAAGAGATTGCTACTTCTCAGCATAGTAGCAGTGGCAGAGCTTCTCCATTATGGGGTGGCACTACGCCGAGGTTCCGAGAGTGGCAGAATCGAAGAAGTTGCTATTGATAATGATCGCCCCCGCGTCTGAGGTCTTTGGAGTGGCTACCACTGCATCGGAGTTGAGGCATTGAAAAAGCGGATGTTGGAGTGGAGGTGTGGGAGAAGCGATTATTGGGAGTAGTGATAGTTCTCCACCAAATGCAACGGTATCGAGCAACGTCGATCTCAGAGCGCTACCTGTAGTGAGGGATCGTTAGTGACCACTGCAGCACAACACCGACAATTTCGTGAGCGACTAAGCGCCCGCCGATGGTTTATGCGCTGTGGCGTGTGGTGGTAAAGAGAAAGACGATATATTTATGAAATATAGAAATAGAATGAAAAGGGAAAAATAGTGGTTGTAGTGAGATACTTTTATAAGTAGAGAGAGAGAGAGAGAGAGAGAGTAAATTTTTTTCTTTGGATGAGATGAGTAGGCGCATGGTTGATAGATTAATTTAATTTTAATAATATTAAATGTTAAATTATAACCTGATTATGATTAATTAAAATTCAAATATGATTTTTGAACTACAATCTTTAAAAGTATGCCTTGGTGTAATTTCCAATTTTTGATGAGCAAATTTATAAAGGAATGAAAAAACTAAGGATAAAAACAAAATGAAAATATTATTAAAATATAAACACATATATTACAAATATCTGAGATTGTGATGGAAAGGTCAAAGTTAAGGGTACAGGAAAATATCTTCAGGCGATCCCAACGGCATCGGAAATTAAAGCGCGACGCTTCCAATGAATTGGCAGAATAAATAGATGCTCATGCCGGCTGGGAGTCAAGCCGACTCAGAAAAGGATAAGTTTGGCTAACAGTTGGGAGGGATTTTTTATCCTAATTTTTTATCCTAAAAAATTGATTTTTGACCGTTATTTTACTATTTTAACTGTATTTTTTGACTTCTTCTCTTACAGGTGGACCTCACTTTTTTTCTAACGGTAAAAAAATCAATTCTCAAAATCCCTCCCAAACAGGCCCTAATTAAGTCACCACGAATTCACTTGCTTAACTAGAGATGTGCACATTTGGCCCTATTTTGTAACCATTTTTAAAAAAATGTATTTTTTTCTCTTCTTTCAATTACATATTCTTTATTAAAATAATATTACACGTAAATAAAAAAAATTTCTTTATTTTTCAACTACACATTTCACATCAATTTACTATTCTAAAATACATTTTTACATAAAAATGACTATCAAATTATTTTCAATCAATGTCAATCTACGACTCTATTGGAAGAACATAATAAAACTAGATTTTTTAAGGCAATAGAATTACGTTGAAGGTATTGTCAAATATAATCGTCCAAGTTACTCTTTTTTTTTTCATTAAGAATCGTACAAAGTAATTTTAAGTACAACCAAACTATCCATGTATATTGAACTAGTAAAAAATGAAAAGTGAACTCCTTTTTCGTTAATCTTAAATTCAATAACTAAACATGATTTGTAAAGCTCAACTATTTTTATAGATAAATTTGGCTAGTCAAAGGTTCTTTTCAACCGTTCATAACTGATCTTAACTTGCTTATGTGACAATTTCTCTCCTGGGCTCTTCCATGCAGATGGTAAAACATTTATTGAGTAATTAGCACAAAACGTCTTTATCTTTCAATATTTTTGTAGAAAACGTGCCTACCTTTCTTGTTTGACGGATTACACCGTCACCTTTACTCTTTTTTGCACAAAACGTCCTTCTGTCAACTCCCCATTAAAATGTTCTGTTAAATCAAAAGGTAATTAGCACAAAAAGCCCTTACCTTTTAATATTATTGTACAAAACGTCCATACCTTTCATTTTTGGCATAATTAGCACAAAAAGTCCATACCTTTCAATGTTATTATGCAAAACGTCCCTACCTTTCATTTTTTAACATTTTCACCCCTACCTTTCACATTTCATTATGAAAAATGTCATTCTCATAAAATTTTTCAATAAAATGACGATTTTACCCTCCTATTCAAATAAAACAAAATGGAAATATGAATTACCAACTGCAACCATAGTCTTAAAATTTTTAAAAATCATAAAGAAATCATAAATTATCAATCACCACCACTTTCACAATTTATCTAGCTGCCAACTATAAATCAATATAACACCACCTTTCGACCACCATGCCACCGGACTCCACCATCGTAAATGTGGTTGTTTCGTACATATTGGTGACCAATACTATGGAGGAGAATATTGGGGAGAGTGAGGCGAGGCTGGTGGTGATGGAGTCCGATAGGTGTTGCGGCCGAAAGGTGGTGCTTTATGAATCTATAGGTGGTGGGGTTGTGAAAGTGACGGTAATGGAGAATTTTTGATTTATCTGTAATGTTTTGAAAGATTTAGGACTATGATTGCAATTAATTATTTATTTTTCTTTTCTGTTCTTTTTTTTTTTGAATAGGAAGGTAAAATTGTCATTTTATTGAAAAATGGATGAAAATGACCTTTTGCACAATGAAATGTGAAAGGTGGGGATGAAATTGCTAAAAATGAAAGGTAGGGACGTTTTGCACAATAACATTAAAAGGTAGGGATCTTTTGTGCTAATTATGCTAAAAAGTGAAAGGTATGGACGTTTTGTACAATAACATTGAAAGGTATGGATCTTTTGTACTAATTACCTTTTGATTTAACAGAACATTTTAATAAAAAGTTGAAAGAATAACGTTTTGCACAAAAAAAAAGTAAATGTGAGGGTGTAATCCGTAAAAAAAATGAAAGGTAGGGACGTTTTCTACAAAAAAAACAACGAAAGGTAGGGACTTTTTGTACTAATTACCCAACATTTATTTATTTAAAACTATTTTTAAATAAGTGATTAATATTTTTATAAAATAAATAAAAGTCCGATAATGAAATCATGTCAGGCGTTGGAATGAAGTGACTTTAAACTCTTTATAAACATATAATCCAAGGTTATTAAGCTAAGAATTGTTCAAAAGCAAAATAGTCTATGAGAAATTCAATGTTCTCCATCATTCACATCTACGTAGATAAACGCAAATTATAAGATAACAATTCTTCAAACATGGTAAATGCTTTGCAGCTTTCTTTAGTTATAATCTTGTAATTGTAGAAATATAGTTTAAATGGACTACCCTCAGTTTAATTTGGTAAGATAACAATTATCCTCGCTAGGGACGGATTTTTAAAAAATATATATTTTAAAAAAAATTTATTTTCAATCACATATTCTCTCAATATAATATTTTTGCACATCAAGTCATCAACCATAATATTTCCTATTAAAATCACGCATCCTTAAAATAAATAAAATCTAATTTTAAAAAATTTAAATCGAACATGCTCAATATAATATTCATTCTATTAATTTTTTTGTACTAAATAAAATTATCTTATAATTAAAAAAAAAAATCGTTTGGGGACCTAAATGCAACAAAAGAACATAAATGAGACCCGTGTGCTACAAGTTGTAATTTTTGAGGACTGTGAGTGAAAATTTCCCAATTGCATTTATCTATCAAAATGTTAGAGAAAATTGCATTATTAGTTTGCAGCTTACTATTCAAGTAGAAAGTTGTCCTTCCATTTTGATATTATTGCGAATCCTCACGTTAATTGTTCAAATTTTTAATAAACTATCACGGGGTCGTCACCAAAATTTTTTCACTTCATGAAGTTAGATGCTATGATTTTCTGCTATTTAACCAGAATTTGAGCTGTATCCATAACATAAATCGTACAATTATAATAAAAAGTTCAGATCAATTTGTTCTTTTTTTAAGATTAAATTCAAACTTGCTATTGAAACCATATATGACAGACCAGTAATGCAATTTTCTGAAATTTAGAGCCAAACAAATCCTTTCCCTGCACGGGTAAAACGAGTGTTTTGGATCGACTCTATTGAAAATTATCAAACTTAAATCTAATCTAAGCTATGCATTAACGAACTATATAATAATTTTACTCGGATTCCGCATAGATTTCATCCCGAATCAGTAACCAACAGATTTTCGTCTCCAAACCCCCGGAATCATTACCTGTTGTGTTCTCGCCGGAGNGAAAAAAAAAAAAAAAAAAAATTGTTTGATGTGAAGTTTGTCTTGAACTTATGTTTTCTTTCGTTTAATCTGCTACATTTTCCTCGGTGATAAGAAGTGTCGAGTAACTATGATTTTTATTGAGCAAATGTTAAGCTATACCCTCTGGGTTTTGAGTTGATAGATTTTATTGCACTGGCCATTGGATTTTTGAGGTGTGTTGCATGCTATTCGAACTTGGATTTGAAATGCGGCAAAAATTCTGGCATTTTACAAGGAATATGTTTCTACAGCCTGATCGAATGGATTCAAAGTTGCCTTCCTTTTTACTTCCTTGGTCGATGTGTATAGTGTTGCTTTATGGGGTTTTTAGAGGGGTAATAAGAAAATTAAATTTTACTTTGTGATTTTTTCCAGTGCCTACTTGTTGAAAGAAGAAACTATTCCGTATTCCCCTACTCCTCTACTTCCTCTATCTGGATTTTTTTTGGCTGTCCAATGAAGCATGTGCTAGTGTTTCTTTCATGAGTTCATGTCCGGGTTTCAGTGATTATGATAATAGACATTTATCCTGATCCAAGTGTTTTGTCCAATACGTAGGATTCTTAAGTTGATTTCATGGAGGGTGTTGGAGATGATGGTGCCTCAACTGCAGCAGCAGCATTCAACCAACGGAGGCATGAAGCGTCAAAGCTTTTCCAGCATTATCTAGATAAATCTACACCACACGCTCTCTACCGATGGATTGGAACGTTTGTTTTAGTATTTCTTTATGCTCTGCGGGTTTACTATGTTCAAGGCTTCTACATTGTTTCTTATGGTTTGGGGATTTATATTCTGAATTTGCTCATTGGGTTTCTGTCACCTCTTGTTGACCCCGAGCTGGAACCTTCCGATGGACCTATGCTGCCAACAAGGGATTCAGATGAATTCAAGCCTTTCATTCGTCGCCTCCCGGAGTTCAAATTCTGGTACTATTTGTAAAATTCTTGAAAATGATGCTCGTTATTTTGCCATTGCGAGGTTGGATTCCTCAACTGTTTTTTAATGTCCTGATTAGTTGTGGAGCACTCTGTTGCTTCAAGTTTGTTGAATTTTACCAATGTTTCTTGTTTGATTCCTCCTGCCTGTAACTGTTTCAGTGCTATTTCTCATTTTATTTTGGTTATTGAGAGAATGGTTATTGGCTTCCCTAGGTACAGCTATCTAGGAAGTTATAGAGAGCTGAGATTGAATTTCCGAATACACGAGTCACTTCTAGTTACAGTTTCATGCTTTGATAACTGAAATATGTTGAGTATGTGAGATATGGCATCTTGGGAGAATAGTTATTGGTGGAACTAGGTACAGGTATACTGGAAGTTGTAGAGAGCTGTGATTGAATTTCTGATTACATAAGTCACTTTTAGTTACAGTTTCCTGCTTTTGATAACTGAAAAACAATGAGTTTGAGGAGATATGGCATGAGAAATCAATCTAAATGATCTTAATTGGACTGCAACCTTGTAGTTATGTAGTTATGTGGATTTATGTTATGGTTGGAAATTTTTAATGGAATATTGGAACTTTTTGATGACTTCATGATTGCTGAAGGATATTTATGGGCTGATGGGACAACAATTCTTGAATGATCCACATTCTTGATGGTGTTCTTTTAACTTCCTTTCGATGAAGAGTTTTCCTCCTTTATCAACTTGCATACCTATGTTTTTTGCTAGCTTAGGTTTACTGTTTTCTGTGAAATATTGTATAATCCTTGATTTTCACATGGATCAGATCAGGTGCATGATGATTTGATGCTTAAATTTATGTAATGTGCATAATGTGTAGACTGTTGCCTATAATATAAGTACACATATTTGTGGCAAGGCTTCTTAAATTCTACACCAGATACTAGGAAATATTGATAAGACTGAAGTTGTACTGCTTGCACATTAAAGCAGTGGCTGCCAGGCTACTGTTTTTGAATTTCTTTTCTTTTTTCGGAAATAAAGAAATACTAATTCAGATTTAATGGGGTGCTATGTGTTCAGTACCCTATGCATATTTTGCATTGTATAAGAAAAGATTTTGAATAGTCCCTAAACCTTTTCCTTTAGGGCTTGTCTTCTACAAGGATATCAAATGCCATTGCTCCCTTATATGATACCACTGTATCAGCCTAGCTGGTCAAACCGTGTTAATTTCAAGTTCCGCAATGTGTAAATTGTCTCAGTATCTATTTTCTTGACGGCCAAATATTTGATAGCAGGATTTTTTTTTAATTTAATTATTATTATTATTATTATTATTATTTTTTTTTTTTTGGGGTCATCTCTATCATATTTTAATAATCTCTATCCCATATTAGTATTTAGAATTGTCATCCCGAGTTGTCTAAGCCTTTCCTCATACACCTAGCACTCTTGTCACTTAATAGCTTCCATGTTTACTTGACAGACTGTATTTTTTGCTTGTGAAAAAGAACATGGCTAATGTGGTCTTTATGTTACTAGTATTATTATTTTACTTTACCGTGTTTTAGGATTTGGTTAGGGAGCTAAATATTTGGGTCGATGTTTCACGCTACTCTGTTGGCACACATTGTTTTATTGAATTAACTTTCTACATACGTCTTATATAATATGTTTCTATTTGCCTTTCTGATTTGTTTGGTTAAAATTATGAGCCTCTTTGCTTCGATATTTTTGGAGTAAACTAGTAAATGCACTAATTAATAGTTTCCACCAATTAAATCCCTACTTGGTGGGGATTAAAATTAGATTTTTAGTAGATTTTGACGGAAGTTGATGAAATAGCAAAACTGTGTTTGGTGCTTTAAAATGGCAAAACTTGCAATATTGCTGTCTTTTATCATTTCAATATTTCCATACACCCTGCTTCTTTGTATGTATAGACACATTCACGAAAGCCCGCAGATATCATCGCTAACAAATTAAGAAATTATCATAACTACGTTTCTTGTTTATGTGGTTCCAGGTATGCCATCACAAAGGCTTTCTGTGTAGCATTTTTTTTGACCTTCTTTTCCATGTTCGATGTTCCCGTCTTTTGGCCCATATTGTTGTGCTACTGGGTTGTTCTTTTTGCACTCACAATGAAGCGCCAAATCATGCATATGATCAAGTACAAATATATCCCATTGAATCTTGGAAAGCAGGTGAGCTCAAGATATATGCAGCATATCTTATATAAGCAATGTTGTTCCTACAAATGGCGTGTGTGGTAGTATTTGAGGCAGCTTGTCTTGTTAATCTGCTTTTGTTCTTATTGGTGACAAGATTTTCTTTGATTTATAACAGAAATACAGTGGGAAAAAGGCATCTGCCAGTACCGGTAACAGCCCCCGAGCAGACTGAAGCAGTGTTAGAGATTCGTAGTTAACTATTTGTATTTACATTAAAACAAACCTGAATACGCAGTCAAAACACGAATGCATTGTATTGTAGCAGCTTGACTGTATGCAGGAAAGTAATGAAACTTTGTTCTTGACATGTACTCCATGGAAGATTAAAATTTGTTTTCTATTGATTTGTTACATTAAATAGAATATATTGTGCTTCAGTCCGAGTAGAGTATGATAAGCCAAGCATATTTTCAGTAATTTGTCAAATGAAAAGTTAATATATATCTGCTGTTAAACATTTGAAGCTTAGCCAAACTTGTGTGTGGAATAAGCTTAAAATATACTTGCATGAAGGTTTATTTTAATTAAACATGTTATAAAATAATAATTTTTGTTGCTTAGAAGTAAAATAAGTTTAGTTACTTATTTTGAGAATAATCTTGATTTTACTATCAAAATAATTGACTTTTTTACGAGTGGGCTTGAAAAAATTAACTGATTCAAACATGTCATAAATAGCAACGTGCTTAAAGTGATAAATACTAAGCTCAATACATTTACCCTGTAGTTTTAATAATTAGATTACATTTTAATTGCATGAAAGGTTAATAATCTTTAAACATTATCGTATTTATGTATCAAGCTTTTTTTCATCGCATTCTTATTCTCAAATTAACATAAATTGTGAATTTTTTTTTTTAAATTTCTTTTAAGATGAGTAAAAAGACTATGCCTATTGTATTTTTTAAAATTTTTGCTAGTTATACAATCGGGGTTGATAATCTCAGTTGACAACCTACTCACAGGAGGGGGTTAATGATTTTTTTATTCATCATGAGCCCTCTCTCATGTGTGTGGTTGTCAATTTCGATTGTATATGTAGCATGTTCAATTTTTAAATAAGCAACACAAATAATAATACAAAAATATAATTAAATATTGAATTCTCATTTTAAAGCAAGATAACAATATTTTTGGATGAAAATCATAATTAAGGACAAGATTTTCTAATTAATAAAATGTTAAAAATAAGAATGTGATGAGAAAAAAAATTAAAGATATAAGTGTGACAATAAATAAAGGTTAGTGATCTTTAATGTAATTAAAATATGATGTATTTTTCAAAAAAAAAAAAACAAAAAGAATAAATATATTCACACCACATTTTTTGTTACCTAGACTACATTTTAATTAATGAATACTCTAAGCTTTTCTTATTTTTACATTTAAGTTCATCATCAACCCTCTATAAATTTTCACATCATCCATAGAGACAATTTTCATTCAAAATATTTGTTATGATAATAGAAAAGACTTATCTCTCATATTTTTAAATAATCAGGAAAAAAAAATTGGTACAAAAGCTGAACAAAATATTTGCTTCTCTTTTCAATGCACGTTAGTAGAATATTTGAATAAGAATCGTGATTAAATACAAAAAATATTAATTAATTGAAAGTTAAGAATAATAATATAATGTGAAAAAAGTCGAGGACATCAAAAGTAAAAATGAACAAATATTGAAAACCTTTTTTATAATTAAAATATGGTGCATATATAAAAAATGGTTGTGTGAATATAATTACCAATAAAAAAAAATTGTGAATATAATCACATAAATATTGTTTGTACATAAAAGTCATGATTAATCAAATGTCAAAAATGTCCTCAATAATTGAAAAACATTTGTCATGTGGGGCAAATAAGACTTCAATCCTACTACAAAAACAGGCTTAATGACAAATTTTTAAATAGATAGACACTGTTGGAGGTTGAAAAAAAAAATACAAAACATTGCCAATCAGAAGCTGACATTTCAACTCCTGGAACAGGCTCTTGTCACTGAGCCATAAGACTTTCACATAGTAACGGCCATATCAAGTAGTGTAAATTGCACCTGAGGTTCAAAATCTTTGAAGGTTGTGATAATGAGGTCCTAAACTTTTGATTTTTAGCCCTCAAAGTTCCGAACCTTTTAAACGTCTGAACAAAGATCCTTTATAGATGAAAATGTCAGACCGACGTTAAAAGACCAAATTTTAAATAACATGACCATTTTACCTTAATTTGATGCAACTATCTCTTGTTTGTTCCGTTAAAACACTATTGCCACTAACCCAAAAACCCACTTATCAACGGCAAATACATTAGACTCCACCTCTCACCACTTTGGTGGTACCAAAACTTCCCAAGACGAAATGCTCATGAATATCAACCTTGTTCTCTATAGTATAGCGAATACACTATGCACCCCATGTGAAGACCCCCAAAAGATCCATGAAATTTATAGTGGCAAATTGATATAATACAGGGAAATATTTTATCCATACAAGAATGAACTATTGAAATGTAGGGCCCCGACACCATATGAGTATAAGAATCTGTTCAAATGGC